TAGCTAACCCCTGGTAAGGCCTAGCCTGGACACAGTGGATATGACTGTAGCCTGGGGGTCTCCACCCACCCCCTGCGCCCCCTCACCATGCGTTAACTCTTCGTTTGTCTAATGGTGGGGAAAGTGGGGGATTCCTAGGGCTGGGTGCTGGGGATCACTCAGAACCAAGGTGAAAGGGTTTCAGTATCTTAACAACCAGCAGAGCCATCTTGGGGAATATTAGGTGTGGAAAGAGCCACCCGCTGGGGATTGAAAAGGTGGTCGGTGAGCATTAGTCTTTGCTCAGGACTAATGGTATGGGAGAGTCCAGGCTCCCTAACCTAGGGCTCTCCGTGCATTGCTACCCAGCCTGGCGGAAACTGAAGCTCCCAGGGGACAGCTCCTTGATGACCTACCGGGGCCACGGGGTGCTTCACACCCTCATCCGCTGCCGATTCTCCCCCACCCATAGCACCGGGCAGCGGTTCATCTACAGCGGCTGCTCGACTGGCAAAGTGGTCGGTAAGGATCATGTTGGCACAGGGGGCCCAGGAACAGGCACAAGTGTTTCTCTGGCGTTTTACCTCTAACCACCAGAGACCGCCTTAAAAGTCCCATTGGTGACTATGAGTGACGTTTAATTGAGCTCGCAGCAGATTGGGCTTCAACAGAGAAATAGAAAACCTTGTATTCATCCACATTTTAAATTAAGAAAGGGAACCTAGAATCCTAGTCAGTAAATACAATAGCTTACCAGAAATGCACTTCACTCTGTTTTGTAGCCAGTCAAGGAAGGAAAGAGATGGCAGATGAAAGGTAGAGGGGGACAGGAACAAAAGGACAGCAACTCCGAGTAAAGGACGTGCAGCCTCTAAAGCAGGAGGTGTGTACAGAAAGATACACAAACACACCTCCGGCCATAAGGAGCTTCAGCCGGTGCGGTACCTAGGGGGGACACCCGGATAGAGCCCCCCTCAGAGAGAAAGATGCACCCCCATCCTGATGAGGAAGAGCAGGTTTAGGACCTCTCAGACAGCCCATTGTTCACTTCTGCTATGCCTTCCGTGTCTTTTGGCTTTCTCCAAAAACCGACGTAAAGAGCTTTAAAGCCACATTTCGTTTTCTTAGCTGTAGATCCTGTGATGTTTAGCTAAGGGCCAGGGAGAGATACCCAAGCTCTGCTAGACCACACATTCAGCGCGAGGTAGGGAGAAAGGGAACAGAAACTGAGGAATTAGAGCATCTTCTGGTGGGGGCTTTGCTCCCCTGCAAAAGTGGGGAAGTTGCCTGAGAGGTAGGTAAGCAGTGCGGCTCTGGAACCGCGAGGGGTGCTTGGAAGGTCCTCTGGCTGTCCCTTCTCCACTCTGGCCTTCCCTGGGCAGTGTACGACCTCCTTAGCGGCCACATCGTGAAGAAGCTGACCAACCACAAGGCCTGTGTACGTGACGTCAGTTGGCACCCCTTTGAAGAAAAGATCGTCAGCAGTTCGGTGAGGTCATAGGGGGTGGGGGGACCAGCACGTTTCTGGGACCCAGACTCAGGAGGGACAGCACCCCTGACTACTTGCCGCCTTTGGCCCACAGTGGGACGGGAACCTGCGTCTATGGCAGTACCACCAGGCTGAGTACTTCCAGGACGACCTGCCAGAGGCTGAGGAACTGCCCGGCACCCCTGCCCCCGTGCCCCACCCCTCTACGGCCTTTTCCTCACCCCAGTAGATCTGCTTTCCAGCCCCGTCCACGGGTGAGCCTCTGACAAGCTCTCTGCCTCTTCCTGCCTTTCTCCCTTCTGGGAGATCTTCGGGGAATCACTGGCATTGGATGGGGAGACACACAAGCCCCGGTTTTGGGGCCCTTGCTGAGCCCTGGAAGATCTTCGCTGTGGGGCAGAGTGGTTTCCTTGTGTGCTCACACCAGTTTGGCTTGGTTCTCTATCTCTGGCCAGAGTCCAGCAGAACTGCCATTATCTGAGGTGTGGCCCTTGGCAGCAGGAGAACTGTCCCGAGTGTTTTTAATCATGTTTGGATGTTAAGTGTTAGCTCCTAGAGTAGATGCCTGGGGTCAGGTCTGAACTGAGCTGTCAGCCGGGCCCATTGCCCTGGCCTTCGTGTTGAGGGTTAGACTGGCCAGTCAGCAGACCAGGTGTTCTAGCCATTCTTCTAGAGGTCCTGAAGGCTAGACCTCTAGCCTTTTTGGGTAGGGTGGAATGAGTAAGGCATGTCCTCAGCACCCTCCTGAGGTGGGGAATTATGTCTTCTCCCTCTCTGAGTCTTTGAGGTGGGACAGGCTTTAGTGTGAGAGGTTCCACGTGGCTCCACACAGGGCAGGCCCTCCCTTCCCAGACTGTTCCATCATGCTGGAGGCCAGCAGCTTCAAGGAGGGTTGTTGAAGTAGGACTCCTTCGTCCTCTCACTGGTTTTGGCTCCCTCAATAAATTCTCTGCGGGAACCGGGCTCAGTGTCTGTCTCTCTCTCTTTTTCCTGTCTGAGGGCTTTTATCCCCTCACTTCAAGAAAATAGTTTTGACAGAGCCTTTACATATGTTTCTCTGTGGGGAAAAAATACCCCTTTGATGCCCCCAAGTTGAAGAGAAATACCAAAATCATTTGTTAACTGAGCTCTGCTCCAGACAGCTCCCTCACTGAACTCAGAAACTTGGAGCAAGTAGAAATCAAGATAGCAGGAAGCAAGCATGGTTTAGATTAGATTCTGGAACAACCACAGTAGCTTTGTTCTGGGGCTGGCTTTGGAGCTGCTCCGGTCTATGATAAGACGTAGCCCAGAGCCAGAGAGAACCTGGCGGGCACTGATGCCGGGCCCCACCTGGGGGCTTCACGCCCAGGACCTCCTGCACCCTCCCGGCCATGCTTTGTACAGGTGAGGAAATGGCAGCGTGCTCAGGTCAGGCGACAAGCCCCAGAGCACACCCATGGTGTGGTCAGGAGGGTAGTTGGTTGGGCTTCACCTCCAGCTCTGATCAATCTATCGCCATGACATTGCATTATCCCTAAGGCAATTTTCAAACCAGGATGCACACCTCCAGGGGTCCTCACAGGCACAGCCAAGGGTAAAAGTCATACCTCTTTCAAAACAGGGAGTTTTAAAAGAATAGCTTGTCCAGCTACCCAGCCTACATGTGTTCTCTTTCCTCTGACTGCTCTGCCTCATGTGAAACTATCATGCCAGTGTTCCCTCCCCCTAGCCCGCCTTGTTCCCCTTCTGCCACTTCAACCCAGCAATGCCCCCAGTCTCACCCAGAACCTCTGTTAACCTCCAGGGCATGAAATTAGAAGCAAATTAAAATTCTTCGTAGCCTCAAAGCCTCCTTTATATATATTTTTTAAAGATTTTTATTTGTCAGAGGGAGAGATAGAACACAAGCAGAGGGAGTGGGAGAAGGGGAAGCAGGCTCCCCGCTGAGCAGGGAGCCTGAGGTGGAGCTCAATCCCAGGACCCTTAGGATCATGACCTGAGCTGAAGGCAGACACTTAACTGATTGAGTCACCCAGGCATCCCTTGAAGCCTCCTTTAATCAAGGCCCGAAAGACCATCCATTCTTCTCATTAAGAGATGCATTTACAATTTGGTTTGTATTTAATATTAATTATCACAATGTGTGAAATCTTTGCTATACTGTGGCAAAGCTATACTAAGCAAAGCTGTGCTAACAACGTCTACTATAATTTTGTACTACTAACAGTTATTGTGAGAACTCTATTCAGAAAAAACGTATTTTAAGGGGCGCCTGGGTGGCTCAGTGGGTTGAGCCTCTGCCTTCAGCTCGGGTCATGACCTCAGGGTCCTGGGATCGAGTCCCGCATTGGGCTCTCTGCTCGGTGGAGAACACGCTTCCTCCTCTGCCTGCCTCTCTGCCTGCCTCTCTGCCTACTTGTGATCTCTCTCTGTGAAATAAATAAATAAAATCTTTAAAAAAAAAAAAAAAAAATTTTAACTTCTAGGGCCTTATGATCACAGGAAATATTTAAAAATTAAGTTTCAGGGGCACCTGGGTGGCTCAGTGAGTTAAAGCCTCTGTCTTTGGTTCAGGTCAGATCTCAGGGTCCTGGGATCAACCCCCGGGTCGGGCTCTCTGCTCAGCAGGAAGTCTGCTTCCTCCTCTCTGCCTGCCTCTCTGCCTATTTGTGATCTCTGTCTGTCAAATAAATAAATAAATAAAATTTTTTTTAAATTAAGTTTCAGGGACACCTGGGTGGCTCAGTCAATTAATTGCCCAACTCTTGGTTTTGGCCCAGGTCATGATCTCCCAGAGAGTCTGCTTGGGATTCTCTCCCTCTGCCCCCCTGCTTATGTGCTCACTCTCTCTCTAAATGGGTAAATTGTTAAAAAAAAAAAAAAGTTTAAAATTACATACTTTTTTTGGTAGAGAATTGTGATCAGTATAACATTCAGGCATAAAAACATACTAGGATAACATTTATGAGGGAAGTCTGATGGAAATACAATTTCTGACTATTAAGATCTTGTCACTTTTTTTTTTTACTGGAAAATGGTAAGATATATAATCACTGTACTGTTTAGATCCATTGGGCATATTTAAAAGAATGAGAGAGGGACGCCTGGGTGGCTCAGTGGGTTAAGCGGCTGCCTTCGGCTCAGGTCATGATCCCAGCGTCCTGGGATCGAGTCCCACATCGGGCTCCTTGCTCGGCAGGGAGCCTGCTTCTCCCTCTGCCTCTGCCTGCCACTCTATCTGCTTGTGCTCACTCTCGCGCTCTCTCTCTCTCTGACAAATAAATAAATAAAATCTTAAAAAAAATAATAAAAAAATAAAAGAATGAGAGAGAGACAATACACTGGAAATTAGGTCCTGTGTAACTATTTAAAATTACAATGAAAAATTTTTTGTTGGACACCTGAATGGCTCAGTCAGTTGAGTGTCTGCCTTTGCCTCAGGTCATGATCCTGGTTTCCTGGGATCCTGGGGTCCTGAGATCGAGCCTGCTCAGCTGGGAGTCTGCTTCTCCCTCTCCCTCTGGCCCTTCTCCCTACTCATGCTCTCTCTCTCTCTCAAAGGAATAAAATCTTTAAAAATATATTTTGTCAAAAATGTGAGGCATTCTATAGGTCTTCTGTTAGGGTTCATGAACAGGAACTATGTTGAGGTATGGGCTTTAGTATCTGGAAGGAATCTGATTGATGAATCCATCTTGATCAGTTTATGGATGTGGGCACTGAGGACCAAGGAGGATTAGTTGATCTTCCAGAAGTCACATAGTTTAGAACCCAGGTGCACTTTCTTGCTCATTCCTTTTATTACTTCATGGGCCTACACTGTGCTCTGAAATCTGACCACCAGTCCTGAGGAATGATAATGGATGACTAAAAAGGATCTTAGAACAGCTATTGAATAACAGGGACATCCCTTGGATAGATTGCTCTCTCTCTTGTGGCTGCAGCCCTGGGGGGTCAGACTGGGAGGCCAGTGTGGGACTTAGGACCCAGCAACCAGTTCGAGGACACAACCTAAGGCTCTGATAGGCTCCAAGCTGGGGATTTTCCTTGTAGGGTCTCCCCCACCCCATCTCTATCACATGGCAGTAAGCCTAATCTTTGGGGTCCTGAAAGTCCAGACTGGGCCGCCGCCATCTCTCATACAGTACACCTTCCCAGGGACACTTAAAGCTCATCTGTTGGCCGTCATGATAACTATACAGAGAATGGTCCCATCTTAGATCCAATGTCTTGTGCATTGCATAAGCACCATGGTTTACAGAAGGCCAGACTAGCCACTCAGAGCCCCTCACACCAGACAAGGGCTGGATCAAGCCCTAGGGTCATGATACACCAAAGTGGGTATCCCCACTGGTGTACCCTGCCCCCCAGCCTGACTTGGATGTGGGGCTGTGCACAGCCATCTTGTGCTCAGAATTTAGGAGAGGGGCTAGATCACACTGATGATGAGGCAGGCACAGATTTTTTTTTTTTTAATGATTTCCAAGGTTCATGACACTGATTTCCCTGTGGAGCAAACATGGTCAGGTTGGGGTGGGGTGGGGGTGACTGGCTGACCAGACAGATGGGCAGACCCAGGCAGGCTATGGACAAAACACTGAACAGCAGGCCTGGCCCTCCGACATGAACCAGAACATGGTTGGACCTGGGGACACAGGGCTAACAGGAAAGGACACAGGCCACTGTCAGGACACACAGCCAAAGCTAGGACCCTGCTGACGTGGCAGCCCTCGGCCCTGGCCCCTTACTGCCCCCCACCCCTCTCCCCCGCCTGCCAGCTGCCAACAGGGCTCTGCCCTGTGTCTGCCACACCTGTCACTGCCTGTCCTTGTCCGGGGGGGGGCCCATCAGCCCCTCCTCAGCTGCCCAGCAGAGCAAGCGGTTAGTGGGGAGGGGAGGGAACATGGAGCGGGGGCCGGTGGTGGGGGCAGGGCTGGGGGCCGGGGCCCGAATCCGGGCACTGCTGGGCTGCCTGGTCAAGGTGCTGCTCTGGGTGGCGTCTGCCTTGCTGTACTTTGGAAGTGAACAGGCCGCCCGCCTGCTGGGCAGCCCCTGCTTACGGCGCCTCTACCATGCCTGGCTGGCAGCAGTGGTCATCTTTGGGCCCCTTCTGCAGTTCCACGTCAACCCTCGGACTATCTTCGCCAGCCACGGCAACTTCTTCAACATGTGAGTCTACTGGAGGCTGTGGGCGCCGGCTCACTGCACTCCGGGATCCCAGCTCCCTCCTCCAGGCTTCTGTCCCCCTGCCAGTCTGGACACTAAAAATAGGCTAGGAGGTTGAGGAGAAATTGGGGGGATGGGGAGGGGAACAGAGTTGGGGGGTCCAGGGGAAATCAGGAGCAGGGCTGAAGAGGAAATGTGGCTCCTAGAAGGTTGAATGGGCCTCTAAGGAGCTGGCCAAGTTTAAGCAGCTGGGGAGGAAACAGAACCAGTGCTGATAAGAAGGACAGGAGGCAGAGCAGTGATGGGGACACAGATGGGGTGGAAGATGGGGTGGACAGGGGTTCTCTAGCTAGCCTCCCTTCTTCTCTGCCCACAGAAAGTTTGTGAATTCAGCATGGGGCTGGACATGCACCTTCCTGGGGGGCTTCGTGCTGCTGGTGGTGTTCCTGGCTACACGGCGTGTGGCAGTGACGGCACGGCACCTGAGCCGGCTGGTGGTGGGGGCCGCAGTGTGGCGGGGGGCTGGCCGGGCCTTCCTGCTCATCGAGGACCTGACTGGCTCCTGCTTTGAGCCTCTGCCCCAGGGCCTGCTGCTGCACGAGCTTCCGGACCGCCGCAGCTGCCTGGCAGCCGGCCACCAGTGGCGGGGCTACACGGTCTCCTCCCACACCTTCCTGCTCACCTTCTGCTGCCTGCTCATGGCCGAGGAAGCGGCAGTGTTCGCCAAGTATCTGGCCCACGGGCTGCCAGCTGGGGCCCCTCTTCGCCTCGTCTTCCTGCTCAACGTGCTGCTGCTGGGCCTCTGGAACTTCTTGCTGCTCTGTACCGTCATCTATTTCCACCAGTACACCCACAAGGTGGTGGGGGCCGCAGTGGGCACCTTTGCCTGGTACCTCACCTATGGCAGCTGGTATCATCAGCCCTGGTCTCCTGGGAGCCCCGGCCACGGGCTCTTCCCTCGGCCCCACTCCAGCCACAAGCACAACTGAAAGAAATAAAGGCAAATCAGGCCTTGCTGGGGCTCTGCTCATTCTTTGGCTGGGAGGACTCAGAAAGGGTGGGAAGGGTGAGAAGGGAGTCAGGCAGTCTCTCTCGAGCTCCTCAGCCTTTCCTTACCCTTAGCGACTTTGAATATCCTTCCTTATGCTTGCTCTCCATCCCTCCTGCGGTCAACTCTCCCAGTCCTCAAAGACTTCAAGCTCTCTGGTGGGACTTGGATGTCAAGGAATGGCAATGCTACAGCAGGTAAGACTGCCCATAGGTAGGGGCAGCAATCCCGCTGAGCACGTGCTTCTCTCTGCTCCATTCACTGTTTTTTCTGCCTCCTTCACTGAATCTCCCCTTCCACCTTCCCTCGGGGCCTGCCTGTCTTTTTACTTTACATTTACTTAACAACTGTTTATTGAGCCAAGCATAGTTCCATGCCTTGTGAATAATAAAAACAAGATTTCTGCTCTTTGAGGGCTGATGGGTAATGGGGGAGGCAGATGATAAACTCACAAATTACGGCAAATTTCTCTTGTGCTCACTACGGGTCAGGCAGAGGTCTAAGTGTCTCTAAGCTCTTCCTATAAATCTAAGCCCTCATAACACCACCACTACCAGCAGGTGGGTTTGGTAGTGTTTCTATTGTACAGTTATGAAAACAGGCACAGAGGTTAAGAGACTATGAGCCCAGGCGACAGGGGTCCATTGTCTGGGCTCTAAACAAAGAACCTGCAACTACAGCCCTCCTGTGGCCAGATTTTGTATGACCTGAGAGTTAAGAGACGATTTTACATTTTTAATGACTGAAAAAAGAACAAAAACAAAACAAAACAAAAACAAACAAACAAAAAACAGAAGAATAATATATCATGGTCTGTGAAAATACAGAATTCAAAGTCCAGTGTCCACAGATTTTATTGGAACCTGGCCCGGCTAATTCATTTAGGTATGGCTGTTTACCTGCTCTAATGGCAAGAGTTGAGTGGTTACTCCAGACACCATATGGTCCACAAGAGCCTAAAATATTTGCTATCTGGCCTTTTAGAGAAAGTTTGCCAACCCCAGGTCTAAACCACACTATCTCCCCCCCGCCCCCAATAAACTGGCTAATATCAGAGAGCTTCAGTGCTATGAATGTACTAAAGCAGGCTGGTTTGTAATAAAGACTTGGCAGGGAGGTACTTTATGGAGAGAGTTCTCTCTGGAGAGGTGATATTTGAGCAGAGAACCTAATGACCACCCGAAGAGGGAAAGGGTGTGTCAGGCAAAGGGATTGGTAAGGTCAAAGGGCCTGAGGCAGGAATGAATGTGACACCTAACACAACGGGTTTAAGCAACAATGGAAGGCCCAGCTATTTGCAAGTTTAAGGGAAGGGGGAAAGCAGTGGAAAGTGAAGTTGCTGGAGAACAGGGGCCAGGCAGGCCAGGCAAGACTTCTGGGCCGGGAAAGCCGTTTAGATTTCATTCTAAGATCAATAAGAAAGTGAGAAAGAGCTTCAAGCCAGAGAAGTCTGTGTGGAAAGTATAGGGGGGTATAGTTCACAACGAGGGTCAGAAGGGAGCTGACCGGGGCCTGGACTGGAGCGGTGACAGCTTCTGAATGTCACCGCATAGGCCAGACGATGCCCGTGGAGCCAGGGCTAGGGAAGGGAATCCAGAAAAGATGGAAGAGCGCCAGATAAGGCTTATCACGGTCCCAGGCCCAACAGAGACAGAAGAGCACCAGAGGTGTCCGGACGCAGGGAAATGAGAGGCAGGGACTGGCCGGTGGCCGACCAATGAGCTCCGGGAGGCGGGGAGGCGGGCCCGCGGTGCGTGGGGTGCGAGGGCGTGGAAAGAAGTGTGTTTGGTGAAGGTAGCGGCAGCAGGCGGGGAGACGAAAGGCGGGAAGAGAGGAGGCGGGGAAGGAGAGGCTGGGCTTCGGGAGCTGGGCGGGGAGGGAGAGGTGGGCTGGGGCGGGCCACCGGGTGGAGGGGGAGGAGGCAGCGCTCCTTTCGGCCTCCAGGGGGAGCCTGGCCGCGGCGGTAGCCCTCCGCTCGCTCCTCTCCCGGGCTGGCCCCGCCCCCTCCAGTACCTCCGTTCCCCGGCTACCCAGGAAGGCCGTGCGGGTGGTGAGAGCTGCTTTCGCTTTCCCTTCCCTGTGCACCCTCCGCTTCTCGTGCGGCGCTAGCCCCCCCGCCCCGGCCATGGCCATGCTCAGGGTCCAGCCTGAAGCCCAAGCCAAGGTGAGCGCTGCTGGTTCGAGGAGGGGCTCCTTAGGGAGGCGTGGCTCCGAAAGGCTGCAGGCGTCCGTGACCCGCCCCCCAGCCCGGGTAGCTAGTCGGGGTCGCGGTCGATCGGAGCCCACGTGAGCCTCGGTGCCAGGAGCACCTGCGCCCTGGCCGGGGGAGACAGGTGAGGTCCGCCTGCCGGGAGAGGCCAGGCGGTCGAGGTTCAGCGGGGTACGGTGAAGCAGAGAGCTGGCGTGGAGGGGAAGTCCGCTGGCGCGGGGCCCCGGGCCACACACAGGGTGCCGGAGCTGCCCTGCCACCTCATGGCCTTTCCCACGGAAGGGCCCCCGGCCCACCCGACAGGGTACGCCGTCCCTGCCCCAGTCGCAGAGGCTCTTACACCTCTCCTTGCATAGCCCAGGAGACCCGAGGGATCTGTTCCCACTTGGACCATTCGCCCTTCACCGCCAGGAATGTTCTCATCCCCCACAACCAGCCCCACGGGGATCCACTTCACCCTTCCCAGCCCCACGGGATGCATTCCACCCTTCCCCAGGTCAGGCCCTACACAACCCTAAGGGTACGGTCCTCAAACGAACTGGCCATAAGCCAGGTGTGTGAAGGACTGCCTGTGTCCCACAGGTGGACGTGTTCCGTGAAGACCTGTGTATCAAGGTAAGACCTGCCCCATCAGCACCCTGCCCCTACCTAACTCCCCTTGCTCAACCCTTCCTTGCTGGGCAGTGTCAGCCCTGCTTCACTGCCAGGAAGAACATTTGATTCTGACCCATATCTTCCCCCACCCCAACCTCACACACAGACAGAGAACCTGCTGGGGAGCTACTTCCCTAAGAAGATTTCTGAGTTGGATGCATTTTTAAAGGTACTGGGGGCAGCAGAAAGCTAGAGAGTAGGGGTCAAGGGGGGAGTCTGGGAGGCCATGAGAGCAAGGTGAGAGGGATACCCTTGCCTCTAGCCCTCCTTCCACCCTGCACCAGGAGCCGGCTCTCAACGAAGCCAATCTGAGCAATTTGAAGGCCCCGTTGGACATCCCAGTGCCTGATCCAGTTAAGGAGAAGGAGAAAGAGGAACGGAAGAAACAGCAGGAGGCAAGCCGGGAAGAGCTGGGGGGAGGGACCCAACCATGGGAAAAGTCAGCCTTACGCCTGACTCGCAAGAACCCCTCTCTCCTTGCAGAAGGAAGACAAAGATGAAAAGAAGAAAGGGGAAGATGAAGACAAAGGTACCACCATGAAGGGATTGAGTCTCACCTCCTAGGAGCTCTTCCCTAGGGATTCCTCTTCCTTGCCCTCACACAGTCCCAGCCTGGTGACTGACCCACTGCCCACTGCCTAGGTCCTCCCTGTGGCCCAGTGAACTGCAATGAGAAGATCGTGGTTCTCCTTCAGCGTCTAAAGCCTGAGATCAAGGATGTCATTGAGCAGCTCAACCTGGTAAGACCTCCCACTCTCACCCCCAGGCTTCAGATCTAACCCTTTGTCCTCCTTGGCCTCTGCCAGGTAGGATTTAGCACTGGCCAGGTATTAGCAGGAGAGAGCACAGCAAATGAAGCCAGAATTGTAGGCCCTGGGGCTTAGGACAGACTTGACCTAAGTCCCTCCCCTGACTGTGGGCAGGGACGCCGAGGACAGGAACCTGGGAATTAGGTTGGGAGCTGATGTGGCTTTGATGCCTTTCCCTCCTCCCAGGTCACCACCTGGTTACAGCTGCAGATACCTCGGATTGAAGATGGGAACAATTTTGGAGTGGCTGTCCAGGTAAGAGAGCTACCTCACTCCTCTGCCTTCCCTACTGCTCCAGTCCCAGCTGCTTTCCACTTTCCTCCTTGCATTCTTTTCCCAGGAGAAGGTGTTTGAGCTGATGACCTCCCTTCACACCAAGCTGGAAGGCTTCCACACTCAAATCTCCAAGTGAGTGACTGCCCACCTCCACCTGCCTGCACACTCTGCCTTGGCCTTGGACAGAGGCCTGGGCTCTGTCTTCCTTCTCCCATTCCATAGGCTTCTACTTTGTACAGGTATTTCTCAGAGCGGGGTGATGCCGTGACCAAAGCAGCCAAGCAGCCCCATGTGGTAGGTGAGGCCCAAGTCAGGGTGCATGGTGGGGGAAGGACGCATCTGAAGTCAGGCCTGACCCAAGTCTCCCACAGGGTGATTATCGGCAGCTGGTGCATGAGCTCGATGAGGCAGAGTACCGGGATATCCGGCTGATGGTCATGGAGATCCGCAACGCTTATGTGAGGAAGCGAGGGTTGGGGGGCAGAGTAGCAGAGGCAGCTTTCCCAGGCCACCTACTCCCTGACCCTGCAGGCTGGGGGTGAAGGGTCACAGACCTTAGCCTCTCCATAAGGTTAGAAATGGGGCACAGGAGCCATTGGGGTCCTGTGGCTGACCCCTACTCTTCTCTGGCCCTGTAGGCTGTGTTGTATGACATCATCTTGAAGAACTTCGAGAAGCTTAAGAAGCCCAGGGGAGAAACAAAAGGAATGATCTATTAGAGAGCCTCCCCTCATTCTGTAATGGGTCTGGCAGAGACCTTCCTATCTTTTACAGAGGACTCCAGACTTTCCCCAACTTCAGCATGTTGAGGTTTGTCCCCCTCTTGCCTCCCAGGCACAATAAATAGTCATACCATTGTCCTTTCATCCAAGTATTTTTATTGGATCCTGACCCTTCCCCTCCTACCATGCCCCCAGCCCTGGCTCAGGTCTTTCCATTGGTGGGACCCACCCATTGGGTGATTTGGGTGTTTAGCTGCTGGTTGGTCCAGTCCTGCCGGATGTCATCAAGGTGGCAGTCAAAGTCCACAAGGTGCTGGTAGGCCCGGCCTTCTAGTAGTGCTCCCACCATCTGCCGTGACTCTTCCCAGTCCCTCCACATCACTCTGAAATCATAACCACCCCCCGTGGAGGTCACACTCAGCAGGCAGTGGCCTGACACTTGGCAGAGGTTAGCATCTAGAGAAGGACCCTTGGGGGCAAGATCAAGGACAGAGGAGGCCCAGGAGCTATGGGCTTCCAGGAAAAGGTGGAGGGAGTAAGGCACTCACAAGTTCTTGTCCTTGGGGACCCAGCGGAGACCATGGTTTTCTAGGACGATGACGGGGGGCACATGAGGCTGAGACACCAGTTTCTGATTATCCAACTGCCGACAAGGAAGGGGTGGTGAGGGTTTCAAGGATCCCCCTTCCTACTTTCTCACCAACTCCCCACCCTGAAACCCAAACCTCACCATAATAAGGACTGCACCAGGGAAGAATTCTGCAATCCGCCCAGCAATTTTCAAGGCCAGGGGTCCAGCACTGTGTAGAGGAAAGATCAGAGGAGTGAGGAGCTGACCATGGGTAGACCTGTCCATCTGAGCTGGACCTCCCTGGTCTCCTAGATGATGGCACAGTGGTGGCCTTTCCCTGTTGCGGGCCTAGGGGTCAGGGCTGCTTTAAGCTTCATTAACAATTGCTTTGACACTTGAGTGCAGATGGGAACAGGTGCTTAGACTGCTGGTTAAGGTGGAGATCAAAGGTGGTCTTTCGGGAGGGTAATTTGGCATAACCACCCAAATTTAAATAGTACATTATACATATGCTGACCCAGAAATTCCATTTATAAATGTAATAATTGGACAGTGTCTGTATTAACAAAAAATGGGAAACAATCTCAATGTTTAAAGCATTAAATAAATCACGGTACATCCATACTCATACTATATAGCTGTTAGGATAAGGCAAATCTTGGTGTAGAGATGAAAAGATGGCAGATACTTACTAAGTGAGGAGGGAAAAGAAATTACAAAACTGTTTAATTTGATCCAGATACATGATTAAAACATAAGTAGATAATTTTATATAAGAAAATTTCCTTTTGGGGCGCCTGGGTGGCTCAGTGGGTTAAGCCTCAGCCTTCGGCTCAGGTCATGGTCTCAGGGTCCTGGGATTGAGCCCCGAGAATCGAGAATCATCCAATCCGGGCTCTCTGCTCAGCGGGGAGCTTGCTTCGCCGCCCACGCCCCTCCACCTCCCTCCCCTGCCCCACCCCGCCCCGCCGCCTGCCTCTCTGCCTACTTGTGATCTCTCTCCCTGCGAATAAATAAATAAAATCTTTTAAAAATTTTTCCTTTTTTTTTCTTTAAAGTTGCTAGTTGGGCTTCCTCTGTGTTCTTTCAGCACTTGGCGGAGGGGAGGTCACCTCGGTTAAAACCAGGTGTCAACTTATTGATACATAGCTATCCTCCCCATCCCCACGGGAGCTCCTCCAGGGACCTTCTTCATATTTCTCTATATTCCCTCACTCCAGTACCCAGCCTAGCCTGGTGGATATAGACCCCGCTCCTAAGCATTTGACGAAGGAAAGATGGAAGGAATGACCAAGAGTTCTCTTGATTCCCCATCCCATAACCCTTGGCCTTCTGCCTCTGGCTACTCCACTCACCTCTGGTCGTCCAGGGCTGCATTGGCATGATAGTACCCAGCCACTACCAGACCGGCCTGCGCGCCCCACACATCCACCTGCCGTGGGAAAGGGGCCATCAGAAACTCAGTGGCGACGCCCACCCTGTAGGTGCGCACTGCTGCCAAGAGGCCGGGGATGGGCTTGGGCTAGGGGTGTTAGGGGGTTTCGCGGTGGTCGGTGGGCGTCCAGAGGCGGCACCTGGTTGAGGGCGACCTCCAGCATGACGGACAGGGCCAGATGGCTGTGGAACAGGGGCACACAGTCGGTGAGACACAGACATTCTCCCGACCGCGGTGCGGGCGCCAACAACAGCCCGTTGACGGCGGCGTGCGGGTACCGGGCGGCGTGCAGACACATCTTCACGTAGGCCCGGGCCGAGATCTCCACCTCCCCCATGGCGAGCGGGGCCCCAGCTCGCGTCCGCGAAGCTCCCTCCCCGGCGCTTTCCTTGGCCCTTCCCTCTGCCACCTCACTTAGATTCGGCAGTGACGCTGACTCGGGTCGAAGGCAGCCCGCTGGCTCCCAGGGACCTGGGTCCCGGAGCCCGGCCCCCACCTGGCCCAGAACGCAGACGGTACGGATTGCATGCTGCAGCGCCGAACTCCGCCTCCGCCCACCCCCAGAGGGCGGCCGCAGATCCCCACGGGTCTGGGGGACTCCCGGCCTACTGCGGTAAGCAGGCCAGGTTTCTGTAGTCCCGCCCACGTGGTGCTCTTCGATAGGCTTAAATGTTCTCATTTTGCCCAATCATCGCCCGTCCCCAAACCTTGCCCCGCCTTTATCTCCTGCGAACTGAAAAGAACCCACAACTGAAAACTAAAGAGAACTGCCCGCACGCTGATTGGCTAGGCTACTCGACTTCGGCTCAGGATTGCAGGATGGCTTCGTCGGATACCTGCGCCTCCCGCCCCCCAGGCCCAGCAAAGCCCGCAGGGTGGAGCGCGCGCCTCGCTTGGTGTGTCCCAGAGAGCCCGCGCCTGATTTCCGCACCTGGGAACGAAGCAGACTGCCTTCTTCCTACAACGGAATGGGTGGATTTGTACTCTAGGCCAGCTCCGTCACCGATGAGATGTATTACCTTTGCCACTACAGGGTATCTGGACCTTGGTTTCCCTAATGTAGCCTCAGCAGAAATAAAGGCGCAATTGGCTGAAGGAGGAGGAAAGAGAACAAAAAAAGTTACAGACCCATCCTTCCCTTAACGTCCTGCCGTATGTCCTTCAACATAGTGCCTTCAGAGCGTTTTTTTCCTTGTCAGCCCTTGGGAAGGAGTCCCACCATTCACCCATAATTCTCTCAGTGAAATCTCACTCCCTCTCCCGGCTGGCCCTGAGCTGATGATGAGTGGTGTTCTTTCTTCTTTCCCTGATCTCAGTCCCAGAGCTTTCTCCTTGCTCAGCTTTCAGTCCAAGGCCTGCTTGTTCCTAAAAGGGGTCTGCACAAATGCCACTTCTTCCGGGAAGCACTCACGAGCCCCCTAAATGTTTGAAATAATCTTGTGAAATTCTCAAATACAGGGTATCTATATAGCTATCATGACATGTCAAAATTTCCACCCTGTTCTTTAGGATGCCTTCTTAAGAACAGGATGGGTTTCCCCTTCATCTTTGGCCTCATGCATCCCCTCTCTTTCCTGCCACCACATTCACATTCAGTATCTGGACATAGGCAACACTCAATAAATGCCTTCTGAATGAATGACACACACCAGAGGTAATTCACACAAAGAATAGGTCATTTATTATTATTATCATTATCATTATTATTATTATTTTGGCCCTGGACTAGTACATAGATGGCTTCTCTTCACCCTTTGGGTTGATAATTTTCTCTAGGTTGCTGCTGATGATATGATAAAGCTCAGCCTGGAAGAAGGCCAGAAGAGTGGCAATCAGGTTCTTGGCTTCTCCCCTGTCCCCCTCAACCATCTCCCATAGGAGCTTCCTCCGCACTCACATAGAAGGCCCTCAGGTCCAGCACCATGGCCCTGAGCTCCCCATAGGCTGCCTCATCTCGCTCATGCACCAGGGCCCGGTAATCCATCTGGGATGTGGGAGGCAAAGCTGAGTCAGCCCCATGGGAGGCTGGGACATTAATCTGGTTTCCTCACATAGGGAATAGGTAACTTGAGGATGAGCCCTTCTCAGGACCAAGAAATGGAATCCCACAGGATCAAGCCGAGAAAGGGGTCAAGGTTTTTGAGGTCCAAATCAGTTTTTCTAGCCAGTGCTCTTAAGTTAGTATTTCCCACATTGCAAAAGTCAGAAAACAGACAGGGAAGACCTCTAGCCCCTCTTCCTTGCCCCACCTCCAACCAGCCTTAGCTAGAAGCCTGGTGATTATGTACTCACTACATGAGTCTCCTTAGAGGCCTTGGCCACAGCATCCCCACGTTCTGAGAAGTACCTGCAGAAAGTAAGGGAATAAACACAGGAACGGGTAGAGAGAGAGGGAGATATTCCCTCAGACCCTTCCCAGAGGCCCCCATCATCCTGATGGGACCGCCCAGCCACAGGAATCCCAAAGAAATGTCCTTGCAGCAACCCCCATGCTGGCCCTCCGGCTACCCTCACTTGGAAATGGTTGTCTGGAAGGCTTCTACTTTTGTCTTGACTGCATTTACCCTCTCCAACACCTTCTCCTGTGATTCAAAAAAGAGAGAGAAAGAGATGGGCAGAAAGAAAAACACTTCATCTCCTCCCTCCTTCACCCACCATCTTCCTCCTCCTCCTCCCAGATTACATCTAGTTCCTATCTCACTCTCCAAGCCTCTCCCTGTTCTCAATGTCCTCATACACCCTTTTCTTACCTGGATAGCCACCCCAAAGTCATTTCCATCCTCAATCTTGGGGATCAGGTGCTGGATCCATGTGATCACCTAAATTATAATCATGTAGAAATCATTCAACAAACTTACTGGGTCTTTCCTTTTACTGCCACTTTCTAATAATATCTGTATTTAATTGAAGAGTTATTACATGCCAGACACTGTGCTACACATATATCTCATTTAATCTTCACAAGATTAAATCTTCTTTCTCAAGATACATATTCTTGGGACGCCTGGGTGGCTCAGTTGGTTAAGCGGCTGCCTTCGGCTCAGGTCATGATCCCAGCGTCCTGGGATCGAGTCCCACATCAGGCTCCCTGCCGAGCAAGGAGCCCGATGTGGGACTCGATAAAAAAAAAAAAAAAAA